AGATAAGATGATGAATTTGGGGCAGAAGAAAAAGGCAAAAGCTTTAAAATTGGAGACTGGAGAAGAAGACGAATAAAAACCAAAAAAGAAGAATAAGAGAAATACAAAGAAGAACTAAACCAAAAGATAAAGAATAGGAAGAAGAGTAGAACAAAACAAAAGAGGAAGAAGAAGAAGAAGAAGAAGAAGAAGAAGAAGACAAATCAGAAGAGGGAAATGAAATAGAAGTTGTAGACGATGAAGAAGAGGAAGAAATAAGAAAATTGACGTCGATGATAAAGTAGAAGGAAAGACGAAGAAGAAGACCGAAAAAAAGAAAAAAGAAAAATCATAATAAGAAAATTATGACAAGACGAAAGAGATTGAAGAATCAGAAGGGGAAGTGAGTGATGAATTTGGAGAAAGATGGAGATAAAAAGAAATTAAGTTAAAGCTTTCAGGGACATGTCAATGGAGAGAGAGAGTGTGACGGAGAGAAATAAAGAGAGAGAGGGAAGAGAGAGAGAGAGAGAGAGAGAGAGAGAGAGAGAGAGAGAGAGAGAGAGAGAGAGAAATGGTAGAGAGAATTAAACCTTCTTGGTACATGATATTAAATCTATATTAGTTGATATTTTCTGTGTTCCTATTTTCTTATATTCGAAATACTTCTTACTCTAAATGTTGTTATCTAAATTGTATGATATATATAATTTAGGACGATGGGGAAGGGAGAGAATGAAAGAGAAATATTGAAATAGAGAGAGGGAGGGACGCATGGTTGGGGAGAGAGATATAGTTAAAGTTTTCAAATATATATATTTGATTGATATAAAAGATGAAAGAAAATAAGAAGAATATGAAGTCGGAGAGAACAAAGAAGACGAAGGCGATGAAGAAGAAAAAGAAGAAGAAATAGAATATGAAGAAGATGGGAAATCATCAAAGAAGAAGAAGATGTAACAAAAACAACTTAAAGAATAAAAAATTAGAAAAAACATATAGAATGAAGAGGAGAAGGAAAAAAGAAATAAAAAAATGAAAGAAAACTAAGAAGAAGAAGAGTGAGAGAAGAAGGAGAGATAAAGATGGAATACGATAAAGAAATATAATGAAATGACGATAAAGAAGACAAAATAAAAGATAAATAAGAAGAAAAAAAATGAAAAACAATTATGTGGAGACGAAAAACTCGTTTTTATCTTAATTCAATTGGTTTGTGAGTTCAATACACTTATTTAGTAAATATTTTTGTATTTAATTTGGGATGGTGTTTACTTTTTGGATTTACTTTGTTTTGTTTTAACATGTATCTCTTAAATAATTGTTTTTAATTCTTTTCAGTTTTTGTTTATAACATTGAAATCTCTATGTCACACAGAGTACGGGCCAAACACCTAGTAACAAATAAACAGAGTTACAAAAAATATGATACAATTTAGCAAGAAGATAACATCATAAACAAAAGAGACCGTACAGGAAATGAAATAAAAATTATAAAATCTGTTTCCAAATTATATACTAAAGATCCTCTTATATAAATAGTCAAAATACAAATAAGGTTTTAGCCTTTCAATTGCTTATCTGGATTTATTAATTTGGCTAGAGATTTATTTTTTTTGGGTCAGAAATTTGGCTAGAGATTTTTACATTAAATTACACTACCAAAATTAGGAAAAGTCGAGTAGCTTGGAAGTGTAAGGTCCTTCCTAATTTAGAAACAGATTTTTCTAAATTTTGATTAAAGTTGTGATGGACTGATGGTAAAGAATGAAGAACACAATGAAGATAGATTGACTAAAAGAGTCCTCAAAAGTTAGCTTAGTTAGCTCTCTGACCAACATGATCCAAGTCCGAAACCCACTGATCTTACGCTACACCTAACCACACTAGATCCCCTCCTACCTTCTCACCCTTCCGTCACCAGTCTCACATGGTCATCCATCAGACCAGCCAAACAGTCTCTCTCTTCTCTCTCTCTCCTCCTTCCCTTCTCTCTCTCTCTAGCGATCACACTGCAAAACCTCACGGATCGGATCTTTCTTCAATGGAAGCAGCTCTTTAGTCTCACACTCTGCCGGAATTTTGACTGATTTTGAACGATTTTAGGGTTTTTTGTTTGAGTGAAATGGTGTTTTGCTTGGAGATCGCTTGTTTCAGTCCCGTCGGCGGGTGAGAATTAGTACTTTACCCGGCGGAGTTAGCTCACTTAGCTCTCTCTGCCGCCGTGGAGATGGCGGCTTCACCTGCTAAGTTCTTCTTCGGGTTTCTGATTGTTTCCATCGTTTTGTGGATGATCTTCATGTGAGTTATTGCGTTTGAATTTCTCTTCCCTTCTTGAAATTTCTGGAGTTGATCCTAGTTTAATCGATCCACATTTTCTATATTCGCTGAAGAGTTTGCCTTGAGAGTGCTATACTAAGTAGAAAGAGCTGATTACTAGTGTTTCTTCCTTTTCAATATATGTTACTTACTTCCCTATTCTTCTTCTAATACTATGATCTACTTGGTAGCTTATATTTTCAATTTTTTTTTCTCCAGACTTTGTTCCAGGTTGTTTGCCTGGATGCTTAGTCGAGTTCTGGGAGCATCTGTTGTGTTCCGTGTTGGCGGTTGGAAATGTCTCAGGGACGTCGTTGTGAAGTTTAAGAAAGTAAGCACTATTACAATACCTGAAAGTTCTGTAGAATTTTCTGTAACTGTGGAAAAATGCCTCTGTAGAATCTTCTTGAACCAGATCAATGTAGTGGATCTCATCTGTCATTTTGGCATTGTTTGTTTTCTTGTTAGTGCTGTGGTAGCATCAGTTTTGCATGATTAGCTGTGTTTCTAGTGGGACAATAGTTCGTTTGCTAACTTTTATTTCGAGACAACTCGAAGATGATTTGGAGCTGGTTTGAGTGTTTTACCAGGGTGCCATTGAATCGGTGTCTGCTGGTGAAATTAAGCTAAGCTTACGACAGTCATTGGTCAAACTTGGCGTTGGTTTTCTCTCTAGAGACCCAAAAATTCAAGTGTTGATATGTGATCTTGAAGTTGTGATGAGGTCCTCAGCTTCAACAAAAAGTTTACCAAAAGCCAAAAGTAAGAAATCTCGTACTTCAGGCAGGGGAAAGTGGATGCTGGTGGCTAATATTGCAAGGTTTCTTTCAGTTTCTGTCTCGGATATGATTGTAAAGGTGATTGATTTGAGTTTAGTATCGTGTTCCAAAATTCAGTCGGTGCTTTGATTGTTTTTAAAAAGGAATATCTCTGTGAACCGATTTCTAATTAATCTATGTGCAATTCAGACCAGAAAGGTAATAGTGGAAGTCAAAGAGTTGAAGTTGGATATATCTAAGGATGGTGGGACAAAGCCAAATCTATATGTTAAGCTGCATGTACTACCGATTCTTGTTCACTTATGTGAATCACGCATAATTTCTGATCAGTCGTCTAGCTTAAGCTTTGAAAGATGTTCTGCTTCCCAAGCGTGCTCTGCCTCATCAGACAGATCCTCTGCTGGTTTATTTTGTGATGAACTCTCTCTCTCTTCCGAGTTTGGACATGACAGGTACCATCATTCATATCTGGTTCTAACGTGAAGTAAACCCTCCTTAAATAGATAGCATTTGTAGAGTGTTTTGTTTAAATTGCACTGTCTAGATAGATTGCTCTGTGACTGTGCCCTTATGTTTCAGAAGAAAACTTATAACAATCAGTGGTTTGCTCACCGTTGGCATTTTTTTCTTCTTCTTTTAGGGCAGCAGGAATTGTTTTGCGAAACTTGGAAATTATATCTGGAGATGTAACTCTGAGTTTTGACGAGGATTCATTCCCCAAGAGCAAACAATCATCTTCTACTGTTCATTCAAATGAAGTTGCAACGTCAACAACTGCTGTCTCATCTGCCTCTAAACCTGATAAAGAGCGTCAGTTGGCAGCGCTAGCAAAGTATTCTCCGTCTTTTCCTGAAAAGGTACGTTGGCTTGATGGAAATCGACTTTGTAATTTTTATATTGTCTTAGTTGGCGAAAGGTTTGACGTGTCTTATGCGAGTCTGTGTTATTGAAATGATTACTCTGATATAGAAAGTTTTTTTTTTGTGCATCTTTTTTGTGTGTGTGTGCAAATTCTGATATAAAAAATTTAAGTCGCTGTTTTACTGAGCAGATTTCCTTCAGTTTACCAAAACTGGATGTCAGATGTGTCAATCGAGAGCATGATCTTGTTGCTGAGAACAATATCACTGGTATTCAACTCAAGAGTGTTAAATCAAAATCTTTTGAAGACACAGGGGAGAGTACACGTCTTGATGTTCAGATGGAACTCAATGAGATTCATGTATGAACGTGTAAGCTCTTTCAGATATATAATATCCAAATTTTCTTATTTACTAATGCTATGCTCTTGTGTTTCTTTGCAGCTTTTTAGAGTAGCTGATTCCTCTATTTTAGAGATTATGAAAGTTGATGTGGTCTCTTTTATCTACATTCCAATTCAGGTTTGAAAGCTCAAATATATTTCTATTTTTCAAGGTTCTTTGCATTCAACTCAAAACTCGTGCTTGTGAAAGTTAGGCCTATTTATTTGTCTTTATAGCTGATTTTTTACTGTCATACCTTCTTCAATTCACTGTTTTTCATCCTTTCTTTCATCACTGTATGGCTTTTATATCATTGCAACAAAAGTATACCACCACGGAAAGATGAGAGTTTCTCGTAGAGAGGGTTTCAGTAGTTTCAGAATTATTATCTTTATGCCTTTACATAACAGTGAGAAGTTTCCAATTTTGAGCTTTGGATATGTGGTTTGTTTCATATGTTAAGCAGAATGGAGTTCAGTAGAGATAAGTAATCTCAGATATTTAGATTTTTGTTTGTTTGTTTTAGTCCTCGGTTTGCCTATGAAAACATGTGCTCTCTAGTTCAATCTACAAAATTCGATTGATCTCTATGTTACAATTTTTTCTGATCCTTCGATAAAAAGATTCATTTTCTTCATAAAAAATAGGAGGTAGAATATCACCGTAATTAATTATTTATTACCGTTATTAATATACCTGTATCATACAAATTTATGCAGAACGGACAGTCTGTTGAGTTGGTATGCATCAATTTGAGTTATAATTTTTAGGCCATGTAAGTTTATGTTCTTACATATTATCTTGATGGTTACCTTCTCTTTTCAGCCGGTTGTGCCTGTTAGAGCTGAAGTTGATATAAAGCTGGGAGGTACCCGCTGCAATCTATTCATTTCTAGGCTACAGCCGTGGTTGCGCCTTCATTTTTTGAAAAAGAAAAAACTGGTGCTTCAAGGGGGAACTCACAGTCTCGAGAAGTCAAAAGCTGCTGATATGAAAGCCATTATGTGGACAGGCACAGTTTCGGCCCCCGAGATGACTGTTATGCTATATGGTATCAATGATTTGCCATTGTATCATGTAAGTTCATATATTTCTCTGATACGATTTTGGTTAAATTAAAAGTTCATACATTTTCATACATTTTAATCTGTAGTCGTGAGGTAGGGTCATAATCCTTTTCACATGCTTCATAGTTAAGTTCTTTATTTTATTGCGCAGCATATGAATTTGTTGTACTAGATACTAAACAGTACTTTGTTCTTGGTGTTTTATATGCAGTTTTGTTCGCAGTCATCGCATGTGTTTGCAAATAACATTTCAAGTATGGGCACAGCAGTTCATGTTGAACTTGGTGAATTAAATCTGCATTTGGCAGATGAGTACCAAGAATGCTTTAAAGAGAACCTTTTCGGAATTGAGCCAAACTCTGGTTCACTGATGCATATAGCAAAGCTTAGTTTGGATTGGGGTAGAAGAGATAGGACATCATCTGACGAGGTTAGTTGCAGAAGTAAATTAGTACTCTCAGTAGCCGTGACTGGAATGGGTATTTATTTTTCATTCAAGCGGATTGAATCTCTTATCATAAATGCTATGTCCTTCAAAGCTCTCTTCAAGACATTATCTGTTGCCGGCAAAAAGACGAAGAAGGTTGGAGAAGCGCAACCATCCAAAGCATCTGGGAAAGGAACTAGGCTTGTGAACCTTAATCTTGAACGTTGCTGTGTAAATTTTTGTGATGATACAGGATTGGATAATTCAATTGTTGATGATCCTAAATCCGTCAATTATGGATCACAAGGTGGCCGGGTTACATTTAGATCATTGGCTGATGGCACACCACGAACGGCGAGCATTCTGTCTACTGCTTCCGAAGAATGTAAAAGACTGAAGTACTCGGTCTCTCTTGAAATATCACAGTTTAGCCTTTGTCTCAACAAGGATAAACACTCAAGCCAAATGGAACTTGGAAGAGCAATATCCATCTACCAGGAGTATTTGGAAGAGCATAAACCGTGTTCAAAGGTCACATTGTTTGATATGCACAACGCGAAGCTTGTACGTCGATCTGGTGGTCTTAATGACATTGATGTCTGTTCTCTCTTCAGTGCTACTGATATATCTCTAGGTTGGGAACCGGACGTCCATCTATCTTTCTATGAATTGTTTTTGCGGTTGAAATCCCTGGTTTATGCACAAAGGCTTAAGGAACGTGAAAGCGGGCACGACAAAGGCATCTCTAGTGTGAAAGATGATGTGCCGAGCGAAAAAATAAATCTGTCCAATTCTGTCGACAAGCAGAAGAAAAAGGAATCTATGTTTGCTATTGATGTGGAAACGTTGACAATATCAGCTGAGGTGGGAGATGGGGTGGAGGTTAAATTGGAGGCACAGTCAATTTTTTCTGAGAATGCCTCTATAGGAGTGCTTCTTGAGGGGCTGATGCTTGCTTTTAATGGATCTCGAGTGTTTAAAACTACAAGAATGCAAATATCAAGAATCCCTAGTACTTCTTCGAATTTGTCTGATGCAATCCCTGTAATGACAAGTGGTCCGTGGGACTGGGTAGTACAAGGGCTTGATGTGCATATTTGCATGCCATACAAACTGCAGTTGCGTGCCATAGATGATTCCATTGAAGAGATGTTGCGAGGCTTGAGACTTATAACTGTAGCGAAAGCTAAAAATATTTTTTCAGGAAAGAGAGAAAGCCCGAAGCCTAAGAACAAGAAATCTAGTTCAAAATTTGGCCGCATAAGATTTTGCATACGCAGACTAACCGCGGATATTGAGGAAGAACCAATTCAGGGTTGGCTTGATGAACACTATCAGCTGGTGAAGAAGGAAGCTTGCGAGTTGGCTGTCAGATTGAAATTTCTTGAAGATTTTATTCACAAAGCTCCTCAGTCTCCTAAAGGTGTAGAAGCAAGTGATCCTTCAGATGAAAGAAAGATGTTTTTTGATGGGGTTGAAATTGATGTCAATGATCCCTTAGCTATTAACAATGTGAAGGAAGCAATTCACAAACGGTCGTTTCAATCGTATTATCAGGCGTGCCAGGGTTTAGTTCCGTCTGAAGGTTCAGGTGCCTGTAGAGAGGGATTCCAGGCAGGTTTTAAGCCAAGTGCTGCTAGAACCTCTCTTCTTTCTGTTTGTGCCACAGATTTTGATTTAAGCTTGACGGCAGTTCAAGGTGGTGATGCTGGTTTGTTGGAAGTCTTGAAGAAGCTTGATCCTATTTGTCAAGAAAGCGACATACCCTTTTCTCGGCTGTATGGAAGCAATGTTTACTTAAATACTGGAAGCTTGGTAGTTCAGATAAGAAATTACACACTTCCTCTTCTCTCTGGCACTTCTGGCAAATGTGAAGGTCGTCTTGTACTGGCTCAGCAGGTATGATAACTTCCTTGTTAATCATTTTCCCATGCCATCTGTATATTTTTATTACCTCTCGTTATAACTGATTTTTTTTTTTTTTTTTTGGTAAAAATTCTGTTCTGTACATATTTTGTTGGCTCTTGAGCATAATATAGCGAGTAGCTGATCTATTTTCTGGGACCTTTGATTTTAGTTTTAATTGTCTGCTCTAGTTACTCTTTGTTAGTGGTTTGAAACATCTTCCTCCCCCAAACAATGATGCATTATCAGCTTATCACCATAACTTTATTGAATGTTTGTTTACAACCCTAGTCTTGGTACCAAGGTTGTTTCGCACTTCATTCTCCATCTACTTAGGACTTAAATGCTTCTATTTGTCAGAGATCAGTATTTTTTTTCTCATCCACTGTATACTTGTTTGAATATTGTTTTCTTCTTTAATCGATAGAACAAGTTGGCATGCGTCTGTAGCTGTGCATTTGCAAGGAGCTGTGATCGCTTGTAAATGTAGTATTTTAACTCATCTTTTTGATGAATCTACTACTCGCTTAATGAATCCATATTTACTCAGACAATGCATGTGAAGACATTGAAATTGAATATAGATCAACCTCCATGTCCTTGTACTTCAATTTCAGAGAGAAAATTTATCTTTCTGAGATTTTAAAAGCCATCCAAAATGTTCCCTATCATCCCCTGCCTGTGGTAGGACATAGTCTAATCTATCCCTTTCTTTAATGATATACACATACAAGCATGTTCACGTATCTCTCTGCATTCTGGATTTCTAATCTCCGTTTTCTGGTTATGATCTCAGTTGGCTGACTATGCTTGTAATTGTTCTCTTAAATTAGGCAACGTGTTTTCAGCCACAAATTTCCCAAGACGTCTTTGTGGGCAGACGGAGAAAAGTGCGAATGTTCCGTTCAGCAACTGGCACAACTCCGCCGTTGAAGACCTACTCAGATCTGCGCATACACTTTGAACAAGGACAAGTTTCCTTTGGAGTTGGATATGAACCAGCTTTTGCAGACATTAGCTATGCCTTCACAGTGGCTCTTCGTAGAGCTAATCTGAGTCATAGGAGTTCAGGTGTCTTACCTGTCACTAAAAAGGAACGAAGCTTACCTTGGTGGGATGATATGAGAAACTACGTTCATGGCAACATCACTTTATCGTTTTCTGAATCAAAGTGGGATGTTCTTGCTACAACGGATCCATATGAAAGCCTTGATAAACTTCAAATAGTGACTGGTCCTATCGAACTTCAGCAGTCAGATGGCCGTGTGTTTGTCAATGCTAAAGACTTCAAGATAAAACTGACCAGTCTGGAGAGTTTGATTAGTCGACATTCGTTAAAAGTTCCAGTCGGCACCTCTGGAGCTGCATTTATTGAAGCTCCTGTGTTTAATCTCGAAGTTACAATGGACTGGGAATGCGCGTCTGGTAATCCTTTGAATCATTATTTATATGCATTTCCAACTGAAGGAAAGCCTCGTGAGAAGGTCTTTGATCCGTTCAGATCAACGTCACTCTCTCTTCGGTGGAATTTCTCCCTCAGACCTGAGAAACTTCACCAGTCTTCCTCAGGTACAGAGCATCCAACAGACACTGGAACTGTCTCCAGTTTGCAAGACAAGCCTGAGACACCCACAATGAATCTTGGAGCTCATGATTTGGCATGGATACTTAAGTTCTGGGGTTTGAATTACTATCCCCCTCACAAGTTACGTTCTTTCTCCAGATGGCCTAGGTTTGGTGTCGCAAGAGTTACAAGATCAGGAAACTTATCTTTAGATAAGGTGATGACGGAATTTATGCTCCGTGTAGATGCCACTCCTTCCCTGATAAAGTACATGCCTTGGGACTCTGATGATCCTGCCAAAGGATTGACCTTTAACATGACTAAGCTAAAATACGAATTATGCTATAGTCGCGGGAAGCAAAAGTATACATTTGAATGTAAGCGGGATGTGCTTGACCTTGTATATCAGGGTCTTGACCTTCACGTGCCGAAGGCTTTTATTGACAAAGATGAGCATCCTTGCATTCCGGCAAGCGTTCAACTTTTGAGGAAAAGCTGTCAGAATGCCTTGATAGACAGAGTACCCTCTGGAAAGGATGAGAAGCATCGCGATGAAGGGTTTCTATTGTCTTCTGATTATTTTACAATCAGAAGGCAGGCCCCAAAAGCTGATCCTGAAAGATTATTGGCATGGCAAGAGGCTGGAAGAAGAAATCTTGAGATGACATATGTGCGATCTGAGTTTGAGAATGGAAGCGAGAGTGATGAACACATACGATCCGATCCTAGTGATGATGATGGATACAATGTTGTCATTGCTGACAATTGTCAACGGGTCTTTGTTTATGGCCTCAAACTCCTGTGGACCATAGAGAACAGAGATGCTGTCTGGTCTTTTGTTGGTGGAATATCGAAAGCATTCGAGCCTCCTAAACCTTCTCCTTCTCGTCAGTATACACAGAGGAAGATTCTCGAAGAAAACCAAAAATATTCTTTTCCAGAAACTCATCAAGGGGAAATGTTGAAATCTTCTGCAAGTCCTGGAAGAAACCTCCCTTCTCAGCCTGTGGAGATGGCAGGCTCTCTTTCATCACCGTCACACTCAGTAAAAGTTGAAAATTCACATGACAGAGCTGGTATGTCCTGTCTCAATTGTCAACGTCGGTTTGTCTTTTTTTTTTTATTCTTACTCAAAGAACTGGAATTTCTAAGAGAAATTGCTGCTCTAATCTTAATGCATCATTTATTCACCTTTTACGTGGATCTATGTATAGTTGAGACAAGTGAATCTGAGGAAGAAGGGACTCGTCACTTCATGGTGAATGTCATTGAGCCACAGTTTAATCTTCACTCTGAAGAAGCTAATGTAAGTAACTATTGCCTTGTAAGAATGCACATTTAACACTATTACATATTGAAGAGCGTTATAACACTATGGGTCTTGGCTGATTAAGTTTACCTAGTTGGTATTCAAACTACTCGAGGCATATATTAGAGCTGCATGATGAATATATTAACCACCAAAATTGACATCTTACTGTTTTGGGTTTCAAAAAAGTTTGCTTACTGGTTGATAAATCTCACTTTGATGGATACCAGGGTCGCTTTCTGCTTGCTGCTGTTAGCGGTCGTGTTCTAGCACGATCGTTTCATTCCATTATGCGTGTTGGTGTCGAAGTGATTGAGCAGGCTCTTGGCACTGGAAGTGTCAAGATTCCAGAATGTAGTCCTGAAATGACATGGACACGGATGGAATTTTCTGTAATGTTAGAGCATGTGCAGGCCCATGTTGCTCCCACTGATGTTGATCCAGGTGCTGGGTTGCAGTGGCTTCCAAAAATTCGCAGAAACTCGCCAAAGGTGAAGCGTACTGGGGCTCTACTTGAAAGGGTCTTCATGCCTTGTGACATGTATTTTCGGTATACAAGACACAAAGGTGGAACACCTGATTTAAAGGTAGAAACATTTCCCAATAGTGTTTTTTTTTTTTCGGGGTCAAATTTTCTTGTAGTGTCTGTAGCATAATTTTCGTTTGAGAATCTTTCTAGAGAAATAACCTAATTGTTGTCTATGCCCTTCCAGGTGAAACCGCTAAAAGAGCTCACTTTCAATTCGCACAATATAACAGCTACAATGACATCTCGGCAATTCCAGGTGATGCTGGATGTTTTGACTAACCTGCTCTTTGCAAGGCTTCCAAAGTGAGTATTGAAACTTGAATTAAATTATAGGGCAACCCGCATATTTCTTGCCGAGATTGTTTATTTTCTCTTGATTCTTGCAGTAGCTAGCCTGAAATAAATATAAGTGCTTTTGTAGAATCCATACCACTTCAGTGCAGTGATTATTAGGGCTAAACTTTAAGTATTTTTTTCCTCTATTTATTGTTCCAACGCTTTTACCATTAAGAAGAAGTTCCTTTTATGATTCAGGCCTCGGAAAAGTAGTCTCCAGTGTCCCACTGAAGATGAAGACGTGGAAGAGGAGGCTGATGAGGTAGTTCCATATGGAGTTGAAGAAGTAGAACTTGCAAAAATCAACCTTGAAGAGAAAGAGAGGGACCGAAAGTTGCTTCTCGATGATATTAGAAAATTGTCTCATTGTTCTGAATATATGGATGACACACACATGGAACGAGAGGGTGAATTGTGGATGATTAGTACCAGAAGATCCACACTGGTAAGACTCTACGGAAGCAAGTATGTTTAGTTGCTATATTATGATGATAGTGTGAAGTGATAGTATTTAACCTCCATTTTAGCCACTAATCTCCATTTTAACAGTATGCAACTATTCAGTTAGAGATGCCTGTCCTTCCTAAGCATCAGCTCTCTTCTGGGAACTCATTTCTATAAAGTTGGTGTGCATTTCTTGCTGCTCTGTTTTAGGTGCAAGGATTAAAGAAAGAGCTCTTACATGCACAGAAGTCTAGAAAGGCCGCTTCTGCTTCTTTAAGAATGGCGCTGCAGAAGGCTGCACAGCTTCGACTGATGGAGAAGGAAAAGAACAAAAGCCCATCATATGCTATGTGCATTTCCTTGCAAATCAATAAGGTTGTTTGGAGCATGCTTGTAGACGGTAAATCCTTTGCTGAGGCAGAGATAAATGACATGGTGAGTTTATGCATATTCTGTCTATTCTTAGTCCAGCGCCTTTGAAGTGACCATCCAAGAATCCTCTTTTGTTTATTCACCATCACTTATTAGAATGTGTTATGATGAGAGTTACTTGCTGAGTAATTTGTTTAGAATATTTTCTCAATCTACTTGGTTCATTTCTGGCTTAGTCTATTGCAGCTACGTAGTCTGTTGCATTAAATCGAAAACCAATACGTATTTAATTATTTGTACATGCAGATTTATGACTTTGATCGAGACTACAAAGACATTGGTGTTGCTCGATTCACCACCAAGTACTTTGTTGTGAGGAACTGTCTGCCTAATGCAAAGTCAGATATGCTTTTATCAGCATGGAATCCTCCAACCGAGTGGGGAAAGTACGTTTTTTTTTTTTTTTTGCTTTCTTATACCCCATGTCTTTATTGCTTTCCTTCTGCATATTACATGTTTTTCAAGGCATTTTAAATCTGGATGATGGTTTCTTCGGTGCACTGGAAAAGGTTTTGGTGGCTTAAGAAAAATGAAAGGAACCATAGGGCTAGAACTAAGCCATCTACTGAAACCTCAATAAATATTTATTTGACACTAGTTCTGACTTTGGAAGTGTTCTTCCTCGCTATTACCGCATATGACTTAAAACACTTAAACTTTGTATCAGTTCTGATTTGTAATTTTATTTGCAGGAAAGTCATGTTACGTGTTGATGCAAAGCAGGGAGCACCAAAAGATGGACACTATCCTCTTGAGCTTTTCCATGTAATTGCCATCTTATGTTGCTTTCTTTTACTCTTTCCATCAAAAGTGAAACAACATAACCATGATAATTAGTATTCGACTTAGGTATCAGTGGATTTGATGTTAGGACTGTATTTTACGTCTTTCAACTAAGCTATATTTTGCTTTCTATCTTCAGTTTTAAACTGTTGGATAATGCCTTTACATGTTGTAGGTGGAGATTTACCCTCTGAGAATTCACTTGACAGAGACGATGTACAGAATGATGTGGGAATACTTCTTCCCAGAGGAAGAGCAGGATTCACAAAGGCGACAGGTCAGAAATAGCATCACAATTTAGCCTATAGATTAAAATCTCTTAAAAACTGAGTTTACATGTTTTTTGTTTAAACCTCGTCTTGTGCAGGAAGTTTGGAAAATTTCGACAACTGCTGGTTCAAAACGTGTAAAGAAAGGGTTAGCAGGTCATGAATCTTCTACAGCTAGTCACTCCATTGTTGAAGCATCTCGAGGGAGTTCTGCAGGGCTCTCTGCTTCTGCAACAGCGCAGTCACAAAGCAATGCTGACTCTGTTCAAGTAGGATTTTCACCTTAGTCTACACTTCAAAGTTTTGAGTGAATTTCGTACCCTTATTTTACTGAATTTACTTGCATTCTATATGCAGAAATCAAATATGCTAAGCGTCAGGCATAGCACTGGTGGCTCAGCTCAGGAGTTGAGGAGAACATCTTCTTTCGATAGGACCTGGGAAGAAAATGTGGCGGAATCTGTAGCTAATGAACTCGTTCTACACGCACATTCGTGCACGGTGTCATCTTCCATTGAACAACAGGAGGATTCCTCTAAACAGAAGCTCAAAGAAACAAAACCTGTCAAGTCTGGCCGCTCTTCTCATGAAGATAAGAAGGCAGGAAAATCACATGAGGAGAAGAAATCTAGGCCTAGAAAGATGATGGAGTTTCACAACATTAAAATAAGTCAGGTAAGGCAGCAGAAGGCTAATCTCTACGACCACCTCATAAATTTAAGGTCAGAAATTGCTTTGCTCTAATCGGTTTACATCATCTCAGGTGGAGCTTCTAGTTACCTATGAGGGCTCAAGATTTGTTGTAAATGACCTCAAATTGTTGATGGATACATTTCACCGTGTTGAGTTTACTGGGACTTGGAGAAGACTCTTTTCTCGTGTTAAGAAGCACATAATTTGGGGAGTATTGAAGTCTGTTACAGGAATGCAGGTATACTCATTATGAGTCCACTGTTCCTGAAACATCATATACCTCTAGGTTGTGAGCTAATTAGTCTCTTTTTCCGATTTCAATTTTACAGGGAAAGAAATTCAAAGACAAATCACAGAACAATCGCGACTCTACTGACAATGACCTTAATCTAAGTGACAATGATCAACCGGGGAAATCTGATCAAAATCAAGTCACATGGTTTAAGCGTCAAAGTGATGGAGCAGGGGATGGATTTGTTACTTCTATTAAAGGACTCTTCAATACACAAAGGCGAAAGGCCAAAGCATTTGTGTTGAGAACTATGAGAGGTGAAGCAGAGAATGATTTCCACGGGGAGTGGAGTGACAGTGATGTAGAATTCTCTCCTTTTGCTCGGCAACTAACTATAACGAAAGCTAAGAGGCTTATCAGACGACACACTAAAAAATTCCGCCCAAGATCTCAAAGAGGTGAAGGCTGTGATTAAGATCTCATTCTATCAGTTTCCTGTAAATTTATTGTTCGTTTCTCGTTGGACTCAGCATTCTAACTTTGTTTTTTTTCTTTGTAGGTTCGAGTTCTCAGCAGAGAGAATCACTTCCATCATCTCCGAGAGAGGCCACTGCATTTGAAAGTGGTTATTCAAGTGGATCTTCACCATACGAAGATTCCCGCGATTAAAAAACCATTCTGACCCGACAGACGGTAAAAAATCATATTCCTTGGCTGAGGGAGGAAGTATAGGCTTCTCAGCTACCGAGGAATCATCGTCCTTGTAAATTTTGTTTTTTTCCGGCTGATATAGGAGAATGAAAAAAAAAAGATATATTGAGAGTGGGAAGATCAACAATATTGTACAGACGTGTTGGTATATTGGAAAAGAAATTAAAGCCACAGGTCAGTTCATCAAACTATCCATTTTCTCAACGTTTACAAAACGTTGCATCAAAAGTGTTCCTAATCAGCTAAATTGCGTAAGAAAAGCTTCACGCAATTGCAAGTGGCTGATAGATTCATGGTGATGTATAATCATTATAAAATTTTTTAAAATATCTGCTACCATTATAAACAAATCTACCGCTAATTTATTAAGTTTACCATCCAAAAACATTTCTACAGTACTTAAAAAATAAGTCGACCAACATAAGTATGTTAACACTCATCAAATCTACAAATGAGTTCACCAATATAAAAGTATACCAACACTTATCAAATTTATGTTTCTCAAACAAATCTATTGGCGCAAACATGTATTTTCGGCCGAAAATAAGTCTATACAATCCGGACATTAAGTTTACCCAAAATTCAAATGTATCAACCAAGTAGACTTCTGAATATGTACGCTTTGGTTATTTCGTAATAAATCAAGCGTTTGTCTAAGTGAATTAAACATAGTAATGAAAATTTTGTGATTAGGTTTGTGTCAACAAAGGCCAAAATGGCAAAATAGATACCCTGAATCATTCTACATTCACAGGCATGTATATGAAATATGTTAACTACTAAATTTAATTAAAATAACACTGGATTTAATAGTTAACTACATTCACAAACATATATAAAAATTATCTCAAGAAATATTTATCTCTGCAAATATGTTTTTTAAAGCATATGCAATTGCTAACTTCTATTGAGTGATTGTGTTGGTTTGCAAGTAGACATCTAGTCTACTGAGTGAAAATAGTTGTCCACATCAACAAAATACCAGAATGACTTTTAACATAACATACTTCCATTTATCCTTCATAGAAAAATAATCTATTCAGTGAAATAGTCGTTTATTTTGAACCAAACACAAAAAAACAAAATCAACTTACTGAACATTAAATCATGTGATTTCAAATCAATTTACATGTATATTTGTTTCGATGATTACATTGTAGGTTCAATGTCGTCTACTTTGATATACATGATCATTCCTTGGGGTTTGTGTTTCTAATTTTAAAAACATGAAGACAAATTCAGCACTACAAATATAATGAAGAATAAACAACTACTTGGAGCAAACAAATAAAAAAGCCCAAAGGGGTGCTTGGGGATTAAGTTTTTAAGACTTTTAGGACTTTAGAATAGCGTAAAGTTTTAAAAGTTATTAAATTTTATTTAAGAAGCAAACTTTTACTGTCCTAAAACTCTCCAAATCCCTAAAATCACTCACAGCCAAAAGTTTTTTTTTTTCCATGTTTCGTTGCTTTGTAAAAATCTAAAAATTTGTGACTTTAGTTTTTTTTTTGTGTCAGTCATATATTAAAAAAATAAGTACAATCTAAAAATTTACAGCCAACAATTTTAAAAGCAAAAATTATAACCAAGCACCTCCTAAAAATTAGAGAAAACTATGTATCTTTCCCACCAAATTTCACATAGTAATAGATCTACACGACCTTTGAGAGTTGTCTTAAATCCACACACTGTCAAAGTTTAAAAATCTATTTCCACCCAATTTTAAAGTTAAAAACATATATAACCTTTGACATAAAGTTAAATATCAATAAACACATAGACCATAATTTACATCAGTTTAATGTTTACTGAAAACTGTCTTAACCAATGAATACCGAGATTTGCCTAATTTAAACCCGATTAAACGTTTAAACCAAAAATTTGATCTAATTACAAATTTTGACTCGCAAAACAAAAAAAATCCGACACAAACCCGCGAAAAATTACATGCTTTCATTTCTCTCAAATTGTGAAGAACCCTAAAACGAAAAGCCCATATACTCAAATTGAAACCTAATCCCGAATCAAACTTCAATCCCGAGCAAACCTTAACCCTGAATCCGCTTCACTTCAAACTGTAATTGTGGATTTCTTCTGCAAATGTCGATAGTGGAGTGGCAAGCTGGGTATGATTCCGACGGTGAAGATCGCAGGGAGAGGAATAACTGGATGATCGAGGAAGCTGTAGCTGCTTTTGAGAATGAGACATCCGTCAGGCACAACGTGTACCCGGATTTGGATGAAGAAGAAGCGGCTCGACGTAAAGCTCAGAGACACAACCATATCCAATGAGGAAATGAGAGTTTGTACTTCGGAAAAGTCTTCATCAGTGGTATAGCATTCAAGGAAGGTGTCTTGGACTATGCCCTGAAGACTGGTTACAATATCAGCCAAAAGAGGTATGACAAGACGAAGCTTGTGTTTAAGTGTGAAGGAGAGAAGCATTTGCATGATGATGAAGGTGCTTGTGATTGCTCGCCTCTTTGTGGATAAGATTCGTGAAGAACCGGAGTACTTCATGCCAATGAAGATTAAAGAGTTGGTTATGGAGAAATGGAAGATATCTGTGACCAGACCTCAATGCCAGCATGCAAGGAACAAAGCTTTGGGATGGATTGAAAGAGAGTATGAGAAACAGTTTGCACGCGTAAGAGATTATGCAAAAGAGATTGAAGGCTCTAACCCTTGGTCTTCAGTGGAAGTTGATTGCATTGTGAATGATGAAGGTAAGCATTTTTTTCAAAGGTTCTATGTATGCTTTGATAACCTGAGAAAATCTTGGAAAGAGAACTGTAGGCCAATGTTAGGAGTGGATGACTGTTTCTTAAAAACAGTTCACAAAGGTGAGTTGTTTGTGGCAAGTGGTAGAGATGCAGACAACCGAATCTACCCTGTGGCATGGGCTGTAGTGCAGAAGGAAATTGCAGATAATTGAGGTTGGTTCTTTGCTAAGATCAGAAATGATTTAGGACTAAAAGATGGAGATGGCTTTGTACTAATCTCTGATCGACAAAAGGTAAAATGGTTGGTATAGTTATTACTTATTTCACTTCTATAGCTACTAAGTTGGGTTTTTTTGTAGAGTTTGATCAGTGCCGCTCAGAGGATCCTGCCAAAGATTGAGCATAGAATGTGTACAAGACACATTTACATGAACCTGAAGTCTCGGCATGCATGGAATCCAGAATTGAAGGGGTTGATATGGCACTAGCTTGGAGCTACAATGAGCCAGAGTTTAGAGAAAACTTGAAGAAGATTGAGTTGTATGATGAGGCAGTGTACCGAGATTTGCTGAAAACAAAACCGGAGACATGGTGCAGGGCTTTCTACAAGCTCAGGTCTTATTGTGACGATGTGGAGAATAATTCAGTTGAATCATTCAACAACTCAATATGTATGGTCTATAACTCCATTGTTTACTTGCTTTCTTATGAATTGGTTTAGTTTACTTGCTTTCTTATGAATTGGTTTTAGTTCATTGGTTTTTTCTGTTTTTTCATTGTTTTTGTCATTGTTTTTGTCATTGTTTTACTCAGGAAAAGCCAGGGATAAGGCTTTAGTGCCTATGCTAGAGACCATTGCAAGGTTGGCAGTGGTTCGAATAGCCAAGAGAGATTATAAAGTAACTTATGATGGTTTCTGTACGCCATATGTGAAGAAATATCTTGCAGAGTATCATGATGCAGCTTCAGGATGCTTTGTTCGGCTTTCAACTAACATGCACTGTGCTTCTTCACTCGATGGATGCACTCACAGGGTTGACTTGGCGAATAGGACTTGTAGCTGCAGGAAATGGGAAATAACTGGAATCCCTTGTGAGCATGCATATAGTGTTATTTTGAAAAAAGGTCTTGAAGCTCAACACTATGTTTGTCATTGGTTTTGGACAGATAAGTGGAGAAGGCTGTATGTAGATGGCATTGTTCCAGTTAGAGGTGCAAAGTTTTGGCCTAGAGGAGAAGAGCCATCGATTGTTCATCCTGAGATCCCAAATATGTCTGGTCGGAAGAAGGATAAGGATAAGGCAAAGGAGAAGGTCACAAAGCAAGATAAAAAGAGGAAGAGAGATAGGAATGAGTCTCCTACGAAGAGGGTAGAGACCCATTGGAAAAGAGGAGGACCATGCATTGTGATATTTGTGAAGCTGCTGGTCACAACTCTCGCTGGCATAATAAGAAGAAGAAAAGGTCAACATCTGAGGTAATATATGTAGTTCTTCTTTCATTCTTATGACTTGTATGATGTCTATGCTAATGTTATTTGTTCTTGCTTTTTCGCAGGTTTCTTTATTTGAAGCATCATCTCAAGTTGAATCTTCACAAGGAATTCTCACTCAAGTGGATTGAAAGTGAAGAATTGTTATGTTTTTAGATGTCTTTTGATGCTGTTTAGAAGATGTTTCCCCTCTATATTATGGCTGTCTTTTTGGTACTCTATCAGCTTGTTTTCGGCTTGTCTTTTTTGGTACTCTATCAGTTTGTTTTGCGGCATCTATGTTATGGCTGTCTTTTTGGTACTCTATCAGCTTGTTTTGAACCTATTTTATGTTATTATCAGACATATTTTACTCTACTTATGATCATTTGTTTGATGCTTTAGTTATTGTTCCCATGTTTTGGCTATCAAGCTTGCAATCAAACACAAAACAGACATCATTTTAACCAAATAACAAAGTCTGACATAACAAAGACATGAATGTCACAATCTCTAGCAATAACAAGGTCTCAAAAAGCAATAACAAGCTATCAAATAGCAATGACAAACACAAAACATACATCATACATCAAGCTTGCTAACAAAGCATCAACCTACAAGCTTGGTACACCCAACAACAATCATGCATCCAAAACAGATAATTATCATCATTTCCTTCATCTCGTAATTAGCTTCAGCTACAGCTTCTTCCACTCTTTGATCGCTTTCTTCCTCTAGCTTCATTTGCAGCTCCTCAAACATTTTCTTAGCCACCTCCATTGTCCCATTTGTAATATCTGCCACAACTTGCTCAAGTTTTTCAGTTCTTAATGTCAACGCCTCAATCTCACTCAACAAAGCTTCATCGACCCACTTGAAAATGTGGCTATCATTAGAAAGCTACAAAAAAACAAGACAATCAATTTGCAACAACACTAAACCCTGACAATGAAATTTTACAATGACAAGAGGAGATATAGCAGTGTACCTTTTTCTCAATGGCAAATGCACATCGATAATATCTCCAGTATGGATTGGAATCAGACTTTGACATTCTCGCGATTATTGCTTCTCCACACCAGCACCTTTTTGGGCACACTTGCACTTCTTCTTCTTTCCCGACCACCTGAGGTGATACTAAAAGACCCAGAGTAATTGTTCTTCATCGTAAGAGGCGTCTGGGTTTCGCAATTTCTTAACTCAGTCGATTTGGGAATTTTTGGTGTTTAGGGTTCTTAAATCGATTTGGGAATTTAAGAATATTACTGTTATAAGATGGATCGGGTTACAGATCGGATAATAGTTTTGGGTCAGGTTGGTCGGGTCTTAAGATACCATCTTGAATCGAGCAATACGGTTTCATCTTCAGTTAAGCTCACAAACCAGTTAAATCAACGGTAAGGGTTATATATGTTTTTAACTTTGAAATTAGGTGAAAATAGGTTTTTAATTTTAGCAGTGTAGATTTAAAACGACCCTCAAAGATCGTGTGGATCTGTTACTATATGAAATTTGGTGGGTGGAAATACGTCGTTTTCCCTAAAAATTAAAAATATGAAGATAAAATTTTGTTAAGTAGTTATTTATTTCCTTGAAAATATAGCAGTATATATATTTCAGAAAAGTTATCTATTTTAATTTCGACTCTCAAATGTGCTATTAACTCTCTGTAGTTAATTATTTCAAATTTGGAAGGGGTTCATGTAGCTAATTATTTCAACAATCAACTTTCGTAGTGAACCATCTTTTACTATTTCTTTCCACGAACTTCGTTAGACCAAGTAGTTTTCTATTATTCAAATATTGAAAATAGTGAACTATTTATACTGTATAACATCTAAAAGTTATCTGCATGATCAAATACATATAAAAGTTTGAAGTAGGTAACTATTTCTGCTAATAACACACCAAGTTATGTTTAATAATATTTCATAATTAGCAAATAGCTAACTACTATGCTTTATTTTTCCTGAACATCTGTTTTACGTTTTATAGCCATCTATCTAACCCAAATAGTTGATTATATTCTTTGGCATTAGGGGAAACGAGGAAAAAAATAATAATAGTTTTATGAGAATTAAAAATATAGGCAAAAACAAAACACTACCAGAAGTGATATTAGAAGAGAGAAAGAGAGAAACAAAAAGTGTCCCAATTTATTTTTCTGCCAGTCTTTGCATATTTTTGAATTCAAGAAATATGTTTTCGACTAAATCTCCTTCTCAAATATAAAGGACTACTGCTATATAATCTACACCTAATTTTTTATCCAAAAACATATTCACCTAATTTACTCTATTAGTTACTCTCCAAAAAAAATAAATTACAAAATTAGCCTAATTTTTTGAAAATTAATGATATATACTACTAAGAAGGATATATACAAAAGGAATTAGTATCTATTATTCTTTATTTCACTCATAATTTGAGTTTTTCATTCACCCCCTTTGTGAAATATTTAGTTTTGGGAGATAATTTTATTTTTGCATGTTGGTTTTAATTTTTGGCTCAAACGAAATATTCTACTACGTGTTGGCAATGTTTTTTACACGAGTTTTCATATCTGGTATAACCATTTTCTTTATTTCACTCATATATAGTTTCGGTGTGATATATATTTTTTTTCTCCTTCGTTTTGATTGTTGGCTCTATGAAAACCTTCTACTAACTGTTTGGAAAGTTTTTTTTTATCTGAATTATATTAGAAATCAAAGGTTTAAACACATTACAAAAATCAGCCCTATTAAAAGGAGACTGCACAAGACCTTAGAGCCTTACAAAATATTTTACTAGCCTACTCTATCGGGTCACAAGAACCAAAGAAAATAAGGGAAGAACCAAAACTAAACAGAGAGAAGACATCTCTCACTAGCAAAGATCTCATGTAACCAAGTCAGGTGACCGACTGCCACATAAGAATGATGTCTGTTACCAGAAATCACACTTTGTGAAATGAGAGAGGCCCCTCTATTAGTAGCTCCCAACTCAAGTTCCATCTTTCATTCCTTAAAAAACTCCAAACGGCCCAAAAGTTCTGATGCATGAAACTGGAAAGCTGGCTAAGCTTTTGGTCTATTGATCACACCAATAAGCTTTGATGCTTCAGAAGAAAAAATGACTTTGTTGAGGTTATGGCTTTGCATGCTATCAATTGTCCATAAGAAGCTCTTTAACTTGACTTCCTCTTTCAACGATATATCAGAGAAAGCTCTTTTATGCATTATGATCAAACCTGCTGCATCTCTCAAAACCCAAGCAACTCCACCCAATCTCCATTTCTTTGACCACACAAATCTCACATTGCATTTAAGCCAATCATCCGGGGGTGCCTCCATCTTAATTGCTTTTTAAGTCTTCCTGAGACCGTTGATACTTTACCAGTAGAGTTGATGACCTGAGAATTAAACAATTGGAAGGCTTCATCATTGACCTTTTCCACCGTGAGGGTGGCAGGTAAGATGAACCATCGAATAGGGTCTTGTTTCTATTCTTCCACAGGTACCAAAGAAACCACAGGAATCTTCTTTTTTTTCCAGAGGGGTGTCAGATATTTTCCCCATCATCATTAGTCTGTGTATATTAGTATACACCGAGAATTCATCAAAAACATTAGCTGGCACTGAAAAATTAGAGAGAGCCCAAACCTGCCGAGCTAGTTCACAAGTGAACAACACATGATTGATATATTCTCCTTCGAAGCCACAAGACTGACAAATCAGATCCGCCTTAACACCCCGAGTCCTCAAAAGCTCAGCAACTGGAAGAGCACCACTCAAAGCCTTCCACAAAAAGGTTTAATCTTTGGAGCAGTTTTAAGAGCCCACACTTGCACTTTAAGATCATTGAGTGAAGGTTGAACATTAACTTCCCTGATGAAATCTCCATTCTTAATTTGATTAGCCAGTCAAAATCCATATTGAACAGAATAATCCTCATTCCTGTTATGCATCCGACACCAATAATCCTCCTGACTAACCACCTGGCCTAGATTGCAAAATCAAATCAATGTCTCTTTGGAAGAACAAATCCTGCAGCCTTTCTATAATCCAAAATCTATTAGGGACATCAATAAGCTCGTCAACTTTCAAATCCACATTAATGGAGAAGTTTTTAATCATCGGCGTCCTCATTCCATTCTCAAAAAGCCATGGATCAAGCCACACAAACAAAGACTTGACATTCCCGACCATTCTTTTAAGAACTTTAACCAGAAGCTCACGCCCATGAAAAATATTTCTCCAAGCATATCATGGTCAAGAATCAATACCCGCATGTAAAAAACATCATTCTCAAAGTACATGCTTTTCATTAATCTGAAGAAAAGGCATATCGAATTGTTAATATATTAATATTACGACGGAAAAAATAGAGACTGAAGTTTAAGAAAAAATCTCCTATTATTAAAACCATATTCACAGAGTTTGATAATATATTAATATACAAAAGGCATTATGAATTTTTATCTATGAAAAAACGAGATGGTTGCATAATTAGGTATTATACATTTTTCTTCCCTCACCAAACGAAGAAGCAAAAACTACTAAGGATGTACCTTCATCCAGAACTTCCTAGTAATTAAAAAAAATGTTTCTTTTTTTGGTTTGATCAAATCAATAATAGATTTAAGGTTTAAGTTTTGGGTTATGAATATAACTTTTCTGGTTTTAGGGTGTAAAATTTCGATTTGAAGGTTTAGAATTTCTAAGATTTTGGGTTTAGAGTTTAAATTTAATTTTATGACTATTTTGTTAATTTCAAGAAATATAGACTATTTTTGTTAGCTTTGATATAGACCACGGTTAATTTAATTCTGTTCGAATAATCGAATTGCTGTCTTTTGGTCACGGTGCATTTAGCAACTTGTCCATTACACTGGACAAAGAGGTGCATTCTCACTTTAATCGCCAGGTTAATGTATACAAATCATATATATCTATGGTACTGTTACATCAACTAAAACCTCTCTCTATTGTCTATGCATCTTAAGTTTGTTAACCTGAGATATATTGCACATTTACAAGGCAGTGAAAAGTGTGTAAAAGCCCCCTCTGCAGAACACAAGATTAGCCACAAATCTAGAACCAACCATCGTTCAACAAATGGAATAATGGGACACAATAAACAAACAGAACATAAGCACTTCATGATTTTATACTCCAGATTGGGCTCGGTTTCCGATGCTGAGGATTCTCGATCGAATAAACAAGAAGAGCTCCATCTTTTGTCCCTGCTAAGAAACACTCTTCCTGAGTTACAGTCAGAGAGGTGATTACTTTCCCTGCTCCGCTATACCTTCTCACTACTTCGAGTGTGTTCATAGACCGCACAACTATTTGTCCTTGGTCTCCGGCACTGACCAAGAACTCTCCGCACTTGCTAAGTTCAAGACAGTTGATGCGTCCATTTGACTCGGAGCTGGCCAGATGTTTTCCGTTAATGGAGTAGAGGTGCAGACTAAGATCATCGTCACCGTACACAACAATCCGTCCATGTTGCGATGCGGCAAGCTTCGACACTGCACTGCCTGAAGGATGTTTTAAAGATCTTATGTATCTTCCTTCCCGCAACGTGTGGAATACACATGTTCCATCTTTTGATCCACTGATGACTATATCAAGATCAGTGCTGACATATAAGCAGGTTATTATATCATCGTGACCACAGAGAATATGAGAAGGAGCATCCGCGAGGACGATATCTCTCCGCAATGCTTCTGCGTGCATATTTCTAACCCTCTTTTCTGGTGTTCTCATGCGAAGAATGTCCCACACCATCACAGTCGTATCATAGCTACCAGTTGCAAGGATACTTGAATCAGCAGTCACTGCAGCATCAACAATATATTAAGAAACGCATGAGTAGCTTGGGGAAACAGTAAACCATGAAATATGTAGACCAGGTTAACGAGAACCTTTTTGAATGACCAAGTTTAAGCACAAAGGGTTCCAAAATCCAATTCATGTTATATTCATTCAATAGAAGCTCGTCTACATTATCAACTCTAAGAAAACAAGGCAAATGAAACAGAAGACAGCATACCTGCAACACAGCTTACGACATCTTTATGATGTCGGATGCTCTGGACTACCCGTCCATCAGTCAAGGATATGACATGAAAACTGTTCTCCCAGTTCCCGCATGATACCAGAAAGTTTTCAAGTGGCGTTTGCATTGCAGCAAAGCACTGTGATCCAAGCTCAATATTGTCTGCTAGGGGACTTCCAATGTTACGAGGAGAGAGAACATCAGAACCAACTCCAAAGAATGGATCCTGCGTGATAGAGGCTTCAATTAAAGTCGTATAATACAATATCGAACTGAAAAGAATCCAATAAGATGATACAAAACATACCTGAGAGCTAGAAAATGTAAAATTGCCGCCAGAATGTAGTTGAGTTGTCAACCAAATCTTGACTGACAAAGTGAGACCCTGGTTAACGAGAACTATATTTGAATCTACGACATTAACATATAGAACTGCTGATGGGGGATTAGTTGTAGCGGGAAGAATAGAAGTCAAATTAATGGACGCAGGTGCAAAGTACAAGGGATGTGCAATTGGAATAGGTGGCCCTCTTCTCGGATGTTTCTTCCGGAAGATTTGGATTGGAGTTTGACCAAAATTAGCGATCTGATCTTCAATTGCTGATATTTGCAGTTCATCTTCCAGATTTTCTACGTCAACAGCACCTTCATATGTAAGGTAATAAAAGATATTTGCTGCCTGCAGTTCGAGTTTAACTTAATTTTTAATAGGAAACGAATCGGGGGCTTCTATACCATGCAAGCAAAAAAGAGACCAATTTATGAAATATGAACTACCACAGGTAGTTGGCAAGAAATAAAGGAAGTTTTCGAAAAATAATCAAGAGTACCTCCACAGCTGGTTTGCCACGCTGTTTGTGTCCAAATATCAAATCAATCCAATCATGGAGATGTGAGCTAACATACTCGCTCTCTAGGGCTTCTCTATTACGAGCAATGAACATCTCTGGAGAACCCTGCATATGTATATAACTCGTAAACTATGTCACAACAGAAGAATGCGCGAATGGAGGTACAATCAGGATGTCTGGAAACCAAACCCATAACTATAATTCCTTAGCCCACAAACACCAACCAAAAGAAAAATTTTAAGTTTAGTTTGTTACTGCACAGCGCTAATCATACTAAACACACCTCATGAACATGTTTTCCGTATCACATGATTGGGTAGCCAGACACTATATGAGCGAAAGGACTGTTAGGAATAACATATGTAGTAACATAACAAGTTATCCCACCAAACTCCAAAAATTATTTCAGCGCCCAACTAGAAATTACCAAGCAAATCATATGTGTGAGATGCATACCATAGCCCATGGAGGTAGACAAATATCTCCAAGAGGTTCACCGTCTTGTTTCACTCCAAGATGGTAAGAGTTAGAATTCACCAGAAATTCAGGCATGTAGAAGAACTCAGGGATCAATTCTTTTACATCGCTTGTGTTGGACAGGCAATTCCGATATGTCCCCTCAATACTTTGAAAAAGACGATCTGCGTGATCAAATTTACCACCCTGGCCACAGACGGAACTATTAAGTGATATGTCTGTATTCACCACTTTGTCATTATATACTCAAGAAATCTGCTATTAATTAAGAAGTGGAAACAAATACCTGCAAACTTCGATGAAGGGATGTAAACGGCTCTAATCTCAAAAGGTAATACAACACACTTCCCATGCTTGAATAATGTGACCCGTAATAGAAACTGCATTAAGTTCATCAATAAAAATTACTAAGGTGCAAGGGAGAAAGTATCTCTCTAGACGGAAAATATGCCTGCAATGTACCTAGGTATATCAGGATCAGAGAAGCTGTGGTATCTGTCCTCAAATATCTGACAAAATAAATAAATAATATTGCATTACATTCACGCCATTAATCTCAGAAACTAAATACATGATATTGTTCTATACTAACCTCAAACCTTCTTGAATCTAAAGCTCCAACCGGTTTAGAAAGATCGCGAAAGGTAGAAGCTTTGTTAAAATCAAGAGTCTCAGACGAATAATCAGCTAGTACCCAAGGGAAAACGGGATACTGAGTCAAATCATTGTAAGATCTGCCTGCAAGGGTGTTGAGAATCATCAAGTATTCAAAGTTTGTTATCTCTCTTCTTCTCCATCTGTCTCTGGCTGTTTCTGCCATCTCGATAGCTACACGTCTGTCAACAAACGAAATTATTGCAGTCCTGTCCCTAGCAACATTCTTCGGAAACAGGAATTCATTCCTGGTAGAGACTATTAACATCCCGACCTCCTTTGCATTCTTTGGGGATGCAAAATTTAGAAAGACTGGGGGCACAGATTCCTGGAAGAAAATTTCCACAGCTGTGTATTGAAGCAAATACCGCGTCCAGTGAACGCTTTTCACCTATTAACATCACATCCATTGAAGCATTATCAACCATGCTGACATTTCTGCATGAAATACCGAATAAGTTTGATGTCTATTACCTTCCCTATTTTCCATCTTCTGTGACGCTTAACCTTTTTTAAAGGTTTCTGGTTGTTTTTTTCTGATTCCAAATCTGACGATGTCTCACTCCCATAAGGTGACGACAATTTAACAAGGTTCTGTTTTTTGTCAGACTTTGTTACATCACTACCCTTTGAGGTGCTAAAATGCTTGAAGACAGATGATCCACCAGTTCCTTCCACCAAAAATTCCCCAGAGAAATGCAAAACATTTTTCATAACTGCCAACCAACCAGCGAGTTTCCTCTTCGGAGTTATAAGAACACAAGGAACTGATGTCAAAACCTGAGAAACAAAACGAAAAGCATGTTATATGCACTATATTGTCTACTCGTTCAAAATCTGTGAAATATGTACTACCTCGCTGGTATCAACTTCTAGAGAAGAAGCATCTACTTTATCTTGTACAGCATCCTTAAGATCACTGCTGCTTCTCACAATCTCAGAAAACTGGATATCTGCAGAAGTATCCAAGAAACTTTCCTCACTTTGACTACCTTCATTCTCACAGGATTCTGAGCCACCCTCATCGGTTATCCTGCGAATGCCTTTTAGTAAAAACCGCTTCATCTGTTCAGGTAAATGTATTACACCAGACTTGCTTTCATTGAGAACGTTTGAAGTCTCATTTTCAGTGGCAGTGGCATTAGAAGGTGGATGACACAGCCTTTCGTCGAAATGATAATTCCGTCTCAACTTTGGTCTACGCCTCCAAGCATCTTCTGTCCTGTCGAGCTTCCAGTGGTTTAAAATGTTATTAGGAAAAGGAGTTGCCGACCAAGGACCTCTCTCATCCATCAAAGATCGCAGCATATGAATCCATTTCTCAGTAATATTTTGCTGTTGCTCTTCATAGCTTGATTGCACTGCAACTCGTCTATTTTCATCCCATGTCAGAACAGTTTTTAAAATGCTTTGCAGCTCTTCATCAAAAGCTTTCTTGGTGTTACATTCTAAAGACAATGTTTCATCATTCCTTTCACCAAAGGCTTGCACTTGACGTGTACGATCAGATATCAAAGTTTTCATGTATGTTGTTTCATCAGTGACTGCAGCAAGCACACGGTCTTTGTGGATAAGATTCTGGATAGAGCCCATTTCTTTGAAGATTCCACCAGAATCAGAGCTGTCATCCTTGCTCAGACCACTGGTGGCCAGGATGGACTTTCCGCAAATTACAGTTTCACGTATCAGGTGCGATATGACATGAAAACGAGCACCATCATCTAACTTTCCGTACTGGGATCTTACATAAAGCAAACACCCAATAAAGAGATGCAATCTGCTCTTGCTTTGTTCATCATCAGCAGCTAAAAAGGAAGGCAAGAGTGAGGTCACCTGTTGTACACATCTGGTGGCTTTTTCCAGAGAAGACATGCACAGATAAAGGGTGACAAGCCTAAACACGATTCGCGGACATTTCTCACCCCTTAGGAGCATAGCTTTATCAACGTTTTTGTTAATTTTGCCACTCAGTGCATTGCCTATTCCTCCTGAAACAACAACTGCGGCCATTTCAGCAGCTGGAACATTCAATGATTCTACTAATCCTCTTGCTCTCTGGCCGATAGAGGGACCAGTAGCTGAAGATTTGGGAGACATCTTCACTGGACCCTTTCCATTAATATCACATATTATTCTCCACAAATTGTCATACAAATTCCACCATCTTTCATTGGTCATAAGTTCAGTTACTGTGGTGCAAGAGTGCTGACTTTCTGTGTTTCTGGAAAATGAATAATGAAAATAACATCATCGCCAAAAGCCAGAAAAATCAAGCAGGAAATATCATAGATCATTCACTGAAAAGCTTTCTCTTTTAACAATATACTAGAATGTCGTACTATCTGTAAAAGCAGCTTTATATAAGATGAAAACGTATTTAGAAAACTGATAAAAAAACAAACTTCAGTCCATCAACTTCATATAACAAAGCCAAAAATGGCAACAAACTAAAGTATCAATAAAATGAAATCCAGAATGAACATACCTAGAGGTTTCTTCCGTCAACAATCGTTGGAAACTCTCATCTAAACCCAAACTGTAGTCCTCCCGGTTTTCAAGTTGTAACAAATCCTCTGAAAAATCAGTACTATTTGCCGGAAACTGCAAGGAATACATTTGACATTAAAGTTCCTTCAGTTAAAGAAAAGCACAAATATGCTTTTTTATCAACAACAGGAAACTGGTTCAAACCACTTGTTAGCTTGATTTCACCTTAAATACAATGAAGTTATTTGAGTTTAAAGAGAGTCAAGTGAGCTTCAGTTAATCCAAGATTTTTCACTGAATAACTGAACTAAATACCTTCACTACCCTGACTGATTATTCATAGCGAGTACAGGTAATGAATAAAAGGAAAGAGAAATGCTCTAGATAATTTAATTTGCATCGAAAGATCTTAACATCAACCTGGTTTAACATTCCTGGAAAAGGTGGAAAATACCAACCCATAAAACTACAAACATCAGGTAAAATGAGAAGGAAGTCTCGCAAGATTTTGCAGTTTCTCAACATGGATTCAGTACAATTTGGTTCAACAATCAACTGCATGATAAGAATGAAAAAAAAAAAAAAAAAAAAAAACAAAAGTAGGTAGGCCATACCAGGAGCCTACTGCCAAATTCACGGACAAGCATCTCATCGACGAGCCGCAAGAGATACAGCACATTGTCGCGGCATGGGTGCAAAAGGAAGATATTATCTTCAGATGAGAGTTCCACCAAACGCTGAATTAGGTCCTCATAAAGATCACGGAGAAAAGAGCGGTATGGGGCATCATTCTGTGATGAAATAGAATAAGCACAAGGCAACAACAAATTTGTTCTAAGGTATAAGAAAAAAAACGGTTTGATTAGCTTACATGCTCACTCTGCAAGAGTATGAAATTCACAGTTTCCTCCAGCTGCTGCCAACCTCCCTTCACAGATAAGATATAGTGGCAGAGAACAACACAAAAGAGACCCCTGACAAAATGTTGCTCATTTAATGCCAAGTCATCATGATTAAGCAACTCAGATCTGTAGTCCTTTATCACATCAAGTTTCACTGACGCTGATAACCATGCACTCCATCCAAATTCCTACACATGATGTTTTCGAATTTTCATTGCCAATTTAACGCTTGCATATCTGTAATTTTCAGTCATAGGAGTCTATACCATCAAAGCTTCAACATTCATAGGATTTGAATCAAGAAGATCCAGTATGTCACTAATTATTTTCGTTCGTGCTGATCCATCCTCACACCCGGACAGGAATTTGAAAATAAAAACAAATATCTGTGGAAGAAAGAAGTGAGAGTTGCTTGCTTTGTTTCTCTGCTTATCAACCTGGTTGTATTTCTGCAAAACCTTCAAGGGAAAGAAGCAACTCCAGCAGATCTTACATATGGCAAGTTGAGAAGTAGAAAACAAATGATTGATAAAAATTAGCAATCTTGAGCTGATACCTGTTTGGGGCTGGCACCACCAAGAAGAACATCAAACAATGTTGCACGCAAGTTATCTGTCTGAGGATATTGGAACAATCTATCAGACATAGCGGAAAAAATTGGGTGTGTTCTTCCACCAATTTTCTTATGCCCTTGTGACAGAGATTTAGTTTTCCCAACAGCGATATAGAAAAACCTAGGTCCTTTTTTCTCTGAAGGAACATCATAAAGAAGCTTTCCAAGGAACTGCAAGCTGAGTAACCTTATAGGCTCGTAATCCCTGCCAAACCCCAAATGTATATGTGAATGAGATTGTTTATGACTCATAAAATAGAGGAAAAAGTTCTCCTAGATGTAGTCTAATGCCAATAACTATTTAATATGTTTCCCACAGAACACGGGAAAAAAAAAACTGCTTTGGCTACGAAAGTCCACTGATTTTTCTATGCCACTGTCAACTCAATACCACAGTTTCCTTTACCATAAAGATACAGATGCAATGAATGCACACAGAAAAACTTGATAGTTATCCAGGATTCCAGCAGGAACACAGCAACTCAATAATGGTATCAAATGAAAAAAAGCAAGGAGCACATTTTTTATGAATAGGCCTTAGGGATTCAGCAGCCACCATCTTTTCAACAATAGTTTGACGGTTAGCAAACTTGTGACAAAAACGAAAGAAAACATGAATACATGATGTTTGAACCTTTGCCCTATCAAATAAGCCAGGTTTTGTCAGCTTTACATTCTTTTCTACATACATAGCATAGGAGCATCTATTCCTGGCGTAAACTATTCATATCAATTAAATCAGTCAATTGACGTAGAACAAACCCCTTTTTTTAAAATTTGGTAATACGAAAACAACGATAGCTTTGCCGAAAACAGCATAGTCACCCAGATATGCCAAATTCATGTATACTTGGAGTTGGATCCACTACATGTACTAACCCAACCACAACACATGTGTGAGCTGGTAAGATAACAAAAACTTACCTCTCAAGAAGATTGACAAAAATGTGACATCCACCGATAAGATTGACTTGTTCAAGAAAAGAAGCAAGGACTGATGTCTGAGAAATGGCACGGATAACCATATGCAGAACATCTTCGATGCATGCTACATCCTGGCATGTCTCAAAAAATGCTATCAAAGCTTTTACGTCCCCTGATGAGATATTCTGCCTGAAAAACGGAGGAAAATTTGAATAAAACTGAAAAACAGTGTCTAAAGTACTAGTTTCAAAAGATTATGATATCATGTATTTTAAGCTACAGTCGAAGGGTAGTAAAATATAGAGGCCTTAACAACTATATTTTTACAGTGGAAGACATGCCTCAGACTCATTTCACCTAGGCTCAGCAAAAGGAGGCGAATTTTATGAATTTCGTCTCTACTTGGTCTTTCTGCAATACTACTTGCTGGATGCAGAAGATGCTTGCTTCCTTTAGCACTACGGTATCTCTCAGACTCCCAGTAGAAGTTCCATACTATGTCAATAACTCTTGGGAGTCGACAAAGGCTTCCCAAAAGTCGTGGATCATTATCTAGCTGTTGGATGAGAAACATGTAAAGTTCACGTTGCACATTATAGGCCGCATGGATCCAAATGTGAGGATTAAGGAAAATGCTAGATATAGCATCCTCCACAAGCTGCTCAGCAAACCCTGGATAGAGAAAAAAATAAATATAAGAAGTTTAAAATAGACCAGCCCCTGGCCTATAAACAACTTCAATACAGAATTAGAAAACGAAAAGGCAAGAATCCCACTAAATGAACTAGCTGGGGAAAACATTATCTGAAAAATTCTCATTTGAAATTGAAATATTCCAAACCAAACCAAAACTAGAAGGAAAAAAGAAAACCCACTTTATGTAAAAATAACCGTAATATATGGTAACAGAAGTTATGCAAACTAGCTGCAGAAAACAAAAATGATGTGGAGTTCACAACATGTACCAGAGCTTGAAATAACGTTGAATAGGTGTTTCAAGGATGATAGCGTCTCTAGATTAAGTTGCTTCGGCTGAATAGACTGTAACAAAAACCCTAGTATGGGAAATCCAGAGAGAAGATGCATCTGCTGCTGATTTCCTGGATTTTCATCCAAGACAGAAGCAATAAGTTCAATAACTTTTGCTGTCATACGCTCTTTTGTAGTAGGCATAGATGACGTTTCCTCTTTAAGTGCTTCACTTTCACATCTATCAGATTGTGTAATCAAAGGAAAGAAAACAGATATCCCTCCGACACAGTAAATTATCTGCTGGAGCAAGCGCCGTGAGCATAGCTGAGTACCAACCATAATATCGGCCTCAAATGTGAGTCGATCTTGTAAATGATCTGACACCCGAGACACATTAAACAATCTCCTACCATCGCTTGCCTAAAATTAGAAAAAGAAAGTTTTTTGGGAACTGGAAATATAATTTTCCTCGTAAAGATGGCATAAATGAGTAACAAAGAAGTGCTTTAAAAGCTGTATGACCTGTGCATTAAGTCCAAAGGAAACCTTAGATGCAAGCCCATCTTTTCCATCAAGAATACCACTAGGGAATGGATTATCAGAAAAGGAGCCAATCATCTCATTCTCCAAGAATGCATACATATAGCTTGGTCCTAGCGAAAAAATGGCCTGAACTTGCTCGGAAGACAAGGAATCATTAAACAAGTAGATGGGACCGATCTGGCCAAAAAATGGGAACACATCTCGGATGGACTCCAGGCCTTCGTTATCTTGGATATGTGGCAACGTAATACTTGTACCAATGAAGCAGCTGGTAAGTACATCAGTAACTTTCGGATAGCTGAAACATATATATCGAAAATCAAGGACAGTACAGATAGAAAAAGCACCCAAACATTACTAATGTCACTCTCAATAAATATAAGGATATTAAAACAAACCCTTAATCAAATTAGTACAAAACAATATATCTGGAATAACCTGCATCTTTCAGATGACACAAGCTCCCCATCAACGTAGCACCTTAAGAGACTACCACCCCAGAACGCTCTTCCAATACTATGAGAAACACAAATAAAATGCCACTTTTTACTGACCAAATTGGCATGCACATTTACACATTGCCGTTTCAGATTCAGTGACTGAAAAGGAAGAAGATTGTATTAGGGAAAAGCATAAGAAATTTGCAAGAATGAAGATAAATTAGGTCATTTGTCTTACAACATAAGACAATCCATCGTTCCCAATAGCAGCAAAGCAGCCCTTCCCATTTTTTGACATGAAACTGAAGATACCCATTTTCCCATCTCCACGAAAGCTTTCTACCCTAAGCCAACAGCAAAAGGAAAACCCCTTGTTCACAGGCCACTGACCAGGTGTTCTGATTACAATGCCCTGCAAATGAAAAATAATTTTACAAAATGGTAAGAAGTAAGAATCAATAAATCGTCAGATTTTGTCAACCCACCCAAGAAAAAGTGTAAAACTTTAGCATCGATATCTCCTATAGAATAACACCCTTGGTTTCAAAAATTCAAAAACTCTCCACTTCAACAAAGCCCCCTCAGATGTCTAAACATGTTAGCAATTTTATTTGCGGCATGTTTAATTACAGTTATGGCAGCGTAAATTAAACAGTGAAAAGTGAATTCATCCAAAAGAAGCTTTAAACAGATGATGAAGTAGAACTTTATTTAAACAAGTTGCAGCAGTAAGATAACACGCAACATTTTATACATGGAAACTTTTTCAAGAGGGACAAAGACTTACAGAATCAACCCCGTTCATGTCAAAAAAGCCAGTCGGTCCTTTCTCATTCAGCATTGACAACAAACAAGCCAATAACAGTGAACGGTATCTCTGTTGATTACCAACTCTTTCACTCCGAAGAAGGGCGAAGATCTTACGTATATCCTTCCCAGAAATACTATGGCCACCGATCGTCCGAGTTAGCTGCGTTATTTTCGAGATAACACTATCGTCATTTTCCACAGAAAACCAATCGAGAAGAAGGTTAAGCATTCCTGCCCGAACACATGAAGCACGATTTGATATGGAATCCCTAAGGAGTTGCTGAAACAAATTTAGCCCATAACACTGCAAAGACTCGCTGCTCTGCCAAATCATACAACTGTAAAATAAGGATATATCCCAAAACCAAAATATTGGAAAAGGCATATCCAAGTAACAAGAATTCAACGAACCTTCTGAAGTACATTCAAGTAAAGTATGATAACATCTTCATTCTGAGTAGAAAAAACAAATAAAACATGGAAACAGGACAATAGAATTAGCCACCATTAACTAGGTATAAAATAAAATAAAAAGAGATCCTTAACTGATAAATTATGAGAACTATACCACCTTTATAAGGGCACTGCCTTTATCATCAAATTTTCCATCAACAAGCATATCAAGTAGTGCGTCTAGGAGCCTTTGGGTAGGTTGCCATTGGAAGAAATCCAACAATAAGCTTTGCAGTGTCTGATAGCCCTTGCCAGCAAGGGCTTTAAATGCAAACTGAAGGGCACAAAAGGAAGTAGTGGCAAAACAAATTATACTAGTGCACGAAACGATTAGGTCCAACTTAACTCAGAAAGTCTTCCTAAACGATAGAAAAAGGATGTGTCTTTTGTTATACTATCTGACTATTCGAAATCAAGTTCACTTCCCAGATTTCTGTCCCTATTGCTTCCGCCCCAAATAAAGTTAAGTAATGTTCATATGTCATCCAGAGAAAAGCCTTATGTACGAAAAATGACGCTAAATATGTTCGAAAAATCTAACATTTCCATTCCCATATACGAAAAATCTAACATTTCCATTCCCATATTTTTTCCTTCTCATCTCTAGGTGATAAGTGAATAAGCCACTATTAAGTTAGCCTTACTGTAGTGAAGAGTAAAAGAAAAGAAGAATCACCTTTGAGGCATCATTATTTGCAAGCAAGGAAGTCAGAGTTTGAAGGACATTCAAAACCAACTTCTCTCCATTTGCTTCATCGAGATTACCATTTAAGAGAGAGACAATGTGTAAGAAACACTCCCCCTCACGGAATAGGGCTTGGTAATACTGATGGGACGAAACAATAGAAGAGAAAAATTAGAGGGAGCAACAAATAAAGATAAGGGCTACAGTAGATGATGCCGAACAGAAGTTTCAAGCACTCAGGTAATAAACTTAGAGTTTTACCTTCGAATCAGTCTTGATCAAATCCCTCATACCCGCCAACAGACCAACGGACAAGTCAACAAAATCATTTTCTCTTTCCTTCACTTGAGTGAAAGTTTCTAGATATTTGGAACACACTTGTAATTTTGCACTTGTGTCTTCTTCACACAGAGGCATAATCTGAAAATTTGAATTAAGAAAGAAAAATCATTTTCCTGCTCCTTAACATAACAAGCTAATAGACCAATAGAAGCAGAGTAAAGACTTATAAGGACTAATTTGAAAGAAATACCTTCATGAGATCAATAATGTGTTTCATCACATTGTTCCTTACGGTTTTTTCCCAAAATAGCTCAAAAAGACAATCAACACAGACGGAGCTTCGCAAAACATATATCTTTGCATCATCTGTTGATGAGAAAAACTCTGTGAAAATTCCCACGCACGTTTCCATGCATTCAAACCAACAATCCTCTGTACGACTTGAATCAGACTTCTTATGAGGTGAATCAACTATAACTCCACTGTCAGTACTTTCTACTAAATGGCTAACACACACGGACTTCCTACTTTCCCTGGCTTGAACACAAGCCAATCTTAACACACGACAAGCTCCATTCAATGCCTTAAAAGAAATTTTATTTTCCTGTGAAAGCTGTAGCAGCCGTAACAGTCTCTGTGAAAGACCATTTGCGATCCTGGGTGTAGATGCAGACTTCTCAAGAGCATCTAACAGAACAGATACACTCGGCTGCAATCACACAAGAACAAAAAAAACTAATTCATGAAAGCCCTCAAATAGAAGTACAAATACAAAGAAACAAGCGGTTTCTGAATCATATCTTATCGTATACACTAGCTATCAAGAAGGACTTCACTTCTCAACCATCACAATTCTCCTTAATGAGTAACATGAACAATACTCAGTATGATTTTCAGGAAAATAACTCAAGCAATCGGCAACACTTAAGAACCAGAAGCATCCGAGAAAAACTGTAGAAAACGAAAATGCGTACCGAATGAGACGCAGTTGCATCAGAGCTTGAAGCCGAATCTGCGACAGTGTAAGATTCCATGAGTGCGCAATCGGTTTCGCGTCAGTGATCTGTTTCAAGATCTCTAAACGACGGTTCGATCCCAAAAGAAATTCTCCGAAGCTCGCACATAACCGTTCTTCTTGGATCAGTGAAAAAGGAGAAACGGCGAAGAATAAACTCTTCCTTAAGTCTCTGGTAACAAGCTGCTAAAGAAGCATCGGAGCATTTACCCCCAAATTTCTGCAATCTGCAGAAACGAAAGAGTGCAGACGAGAGTATACAGAATTTACAAAAGCAAGTCCTCCGTTTTAGTAAATGTTATAAATCTCTTTCCCCATGAGCTAAAATAAAGTTCATTTTGGTTTCAGTTACACGAATTTTGGTTTTCTTTTGCCCATCCCTAATCAAACTATCAATTTATAAAATGTAAATGCAAGTGTAAATGACTTTACAATACTCAGAAGTTGACGAAATGACTATGATTTTATTTAATTTACAAACTCATATATTCTCTCTTCTTAAAATGTCCACTTAAGCAAAACTGAAAAAGCTTATCTCATTAAAATATTCATTTAATTCATACTAATCTATGTTTATGTTATTTATCATTGAGAAATATCTGAATTAAATAGAAATAACACAAAAAATCAATACATGCTTAGGACGGACTCCAATAGTTGTTCCTCAGTGTCTCTTTTGCAATTAGGTTGATGAGTCTCGATCAAAATCAAGTTGGAAGTTTATAAACACTTAGTATATAACCACGAAGGAGATTTATAACAATTTATAAGAGGAGGAAGCGTTTATTATGATGAACACTCAAAATTTACCAAGAGTTTTTAGAACTCTCAAACTCAATTCCTAAGGAGCAAAATGTCTTGGTATTCAACTCACTCACTTCATCCCCAGTTTTGGTATTTATAGTACTAAGCTTAAGGAATAATGGATATTTTACAACTTATTCCACTAGAAGTTTGATATTTTAAAAGAATATAGGTTTGTGAAGAAGATGTATTTTCCATGGTATGTATTGAGACCAGAGACTAATACACAAAATGTTCTATTTCACTATTAAGAAAAGACTGCAGCTGCGAGTGACAAGAGATTGGGACACTAAGGAGAAGATGCTAATTCTACTAGCTTGGTAATGTGCAATATAGCTTGAGACTAGTATACTCAAATGGGATGAAAATTTGCATGATTTTTCGAGTTTCATATTATTTTTCGAAGATACACTAATTCCGGTTTTAATACGTTATTTCTACATAATTCACGCTTTTTAAACTTGTTGAAATCATCTGCGAATAAAACATCTTAATTACGTGTTTGCACCTTTGTATCTGCTAATTTAGAGTCAAATTTAGCTATCAAGAAATAAGCCAATTCTAAACAACAAAAGAATTTTTACATTCTCAATGGTTATTATTCAGATAGATCGTAAGCAAAATGGAGCATTTCTCCAAACCAATTATATTGGGCTAGGTAAAATTTCCAAGTAAAAAATGTAATATACTTTTAAAGGATTCTTGGATGTACATCTATGACTATTTAAGAGTTGAGAGTAGGTATAGCTACACATACTCCTATAGGTGGAATGAGACGCATTTGTTACATGTTTTCTCATTTGTCTAATGAAATTGTAGTGTCCCTATGAAGTTTTGAAAAATGTCTTTTGGGTTTAAAACCATGTGAAGATCAACGATTCAACATTGGACAGTCAACAGAAACAAATTATTTGCTGTTTGAGTTTTATGCTAATAACTTAATAAGGTATGTATAAAAGATAGTAATCACGAGAGCTTTTAAACCAAAAGAAAAACGTGATGACATTTATCATGAGGTATTCTACTCAACAAAGCGCAAATGACAGTATATGGCATTATCAGAGCTGTGTCTGAGATTTCTCTAATTATAAGCGAGAAAAAAAAATGGCCCCTTAAAACTCTTTTTATGCAGCTTAACCCACAAATAAATAAGAAAAAATGATATATATGCGTTTGGGAAGAGTTGAACCCAGACAAACATTTAACCAAACATGCTTTTACCTATTCACAAACCACTTGGACTAACTTCAACTCTGAAAAATTGGCCCAAAAAAAATATTTAACTCCTCCGGCCCTGAAGCACATGCTTCATTAACCTGTGCTCAGGCACGGCTCTGGGCATTATCATCTTGAACATATATCATCATTCTGATCAAGTCCTAAGAACTCAGAAAGAACAAAGATATAGTAAACTAAATAAAGAGCCAACATGAGTTTAATCAATTTTTCTCATCGGATTTGAAACCTTTTAATAAAATACATTGTGACATTTGGGGACCTAAAGCAATTTCACCTTACAGTACATACATATTAGAAAAACACACCTTATCTATGAAGAGGAAAAAATCATAGAGCTGTATCGTTAGCCATGGAAGAGACTAATCGAGTTAATGTTACCCAGAAAATAATTCGAGAAGGCCACGAACGATTAATTGGAGTTGGGAGTGACATTGAATATCTGAATTGCATAAGCTTTGAGACGAAAAAATGCATTGATTTTATGCTCAAAGTGATGAATCCATCTCTACATCTGCTTCTTATAGTTTGCCAAAATTGCACTGCATATAAAATGTATAATCAAATTAGCATAAGAAACTGATACAAAAATGATTTTGTATTAATATATGTGATTAAGGTAGAATATTTGAAATGTGAGTAATGATTCAAGACCTTTCACAAAGTTATTCATTGTTAGAGACAAAATGTTAGAGAATTCTAAAGAAAAAAACCTGTCGGTAGATTGAGTCTTTTGTGATACTCGTTATAAGATGGGAAGGATTTTAGCATCTTATGATCTTTGTTGCAGAGAGCGAAGAATCTTCCATGAAAAGAACTTTCAACAGGTTCATTAGGCGAAACCTCGATCCAGATCCCGGCTATAAGAAATATATAACGATAAATTATCACAATAAAGTTCTTGGGAACATATCTTAATCAAAATTATGACTATCAATTTATAGGGGTTTAGTGAGAGTTGTCTTTTTATATAGAGTTTTGTTGATTTGAAAAGTTTATAGGTTTGTTAAATTTGCAGAATGATTTGATATTAAATACTAAATATATATTGATATGCGTGAAAGAGATGAAACTTAAGCTCACCCATATTGTCCAAGAAGCAATAAACGACTAGAACCAATATCGCAATCAAAACTCCATTTCTTGATCTCGCTTTCATTTTTATACTCACGTCTTCTGTGTTTTTTCTTTCTTTGTTCTGTTTTTTTTTTTCTTTTTTTGGGTGTTTTCTTTAATACTTGGTGAGTTGTTTGAATTGGAAGGAAATGTGATACATTTTGAGTTATTTATTTAGAATGGTGGATCCAATGTTTCCGAAGTTTCTTCAAGTCAAGAGGGTTAAGCGTTGACCGTTACTATCAAAACAGATGATGATTAACCGTGATCAGCACGCCTTGACTTGAATTAACTTATGTTATCGGTCAAATGCAACTTACAATATGGTTTGTGTTGACTTGGGCGTTCTTTGAGATCATTGGTTTTAATTGTTAAAAGAATTTAATATTATTAATTGACAAAAATACTTAAATAAATATTTGTCTTATGTATTATTTATATGAATGTTATGATGAGGTCTCAATCTCAAAGAGTTTTTCAATGATTTTTTTAAAAAGTATGTTCAACTTACTAGATTAAATAAAGCATATGTTTTTTAACATAAATTTGATTAGAGTTTGGTTTATATCAATTATATATTTTATACCCAAACATTTAATTTGTAAAGATATTTTCTTTTTTTCTATTTCTTATCAACATATTTATAAAAATTTAATACATAATATTACTTATGTTATTAAACATTATATTTCTTATTTCATCTTTTTTATCTTAATTTTATTAAAAAATAATTATATTATCTATTTAATAAGAAAATATTAAATATTTTTATATATATTATAATTCAAAATTTTTTATATCAAAAGTAAAGTATCTTAATCTGATGTTGGACCGATTAGATAGAACATATTAATTTAATTTACATTATATTTAATGTACAATTATTCATATAAAAAATATTATTAAAATTAATTATAAAATTAATAATTATCTAGTATTTATGCAATTATCTTATAAAATAAATATAATTTTAATCATTATTTATAATTGTATAATCAGCACATATATTTATAATTATAAATATCAGCTAACATTTTTATAATTGTATTTATATATACTATATTTGCATATTCAAATAAAAAAATTATAGTTAATATTTACTCTGGGATAATCACCTAGTTTCAGTGGCAGACCTAGGTTGTGGGTTTCAAAGTGACACTCCTAAACTATATAAACATGTTATTTTACATAAGATTAATAGATGTATATGTGTTGGATTATCTGGTCGTGTGCACTTGTTTTGACACCATGACTAGAGAGCTTGAACCTAGTAAAAAAAAATCATGGGTCCACCACTGCCTAATTTAGTTGTAATAAACGTGTGATTTTGTCTTTTCTTTGTTATATTCTTTCATCTGCTAGTTTTATTATATAATAACAAGAAAAGAAATATATTAATAAAATAGTTTAATTTGTTTTTATTGCCAGTAATCTAAAAACTTAAAACAGTTTAAAGATCTAAACTCGCAATATTAAGTGTATATAAGTAATATGATAGAAATGAGCACTTCATTTCAACAATTTTGTGTTATTTGTACATAAAATGAATAAGATAAAAAGAAAAAAGTAAACATCTCTTCACTCATCATGAATTCTTCCAACTATAATATAAATGCATGTTCTTCTTTAAATGTAGACACTGTTTTCACCGACTTCAAACAGTTAGTTACAAAAATATTAATGTTTTCTCATTTGTGAAAGTGTTCCAGTTCTATTTGCTAGTGGTCAACATATTTTGGCCAAGTCTCATGTATTTCTTTTTTCCGAAGACCAAGTCTTTTGGTTAAAATTTTCAACAGTGAACCATAATATTGGACCGTCCTTGGACTAGGATGTGCTAAAGAAAAACCTACGATTGATCACTAATATCTGGTCAAGCAGTAGGATGATTAATTAGTACGTTATGACAAAAAAAATAATGTACATTGTGCGGAGTAAGCAAGCACTAAGATGTTTTCGTCTTGACACTGTGCTACAAATATTTAGAAAATAATATTGGAGCCGCGTGGATGGACTCATCATATTGACAGCGATTTATAACAAGAAACTTTTTGATTTTTAATATTCAAAGCCGTGTCTAAGAGTTTTCGAGGCATAAAACGAATAAAACGTAGTACAATTTATTGAGTGCGACATCTCCAACATACTTCCAAATTTTTTAAAAGTATTTTTTTAATATTTAGAAAAACTATATTTTTTACTTTATAATAGAGTTGAACTTTTTTAATTTCTAAAATAATTAGATTTTGTGTTCACGATATGCATAGATTTCTTTTTATAATAAATTATATGCAATTAATTATTATTATAATGATATATATTTTATATATTAGTATTTTGATAATATATTAAAAATATAATAATGATAATATAATAATTTTATGTAAATTGTGAGGTTTTAACAGTTTTATTTTTGAATTTATATAAGTCATATTTCAAAAATATATTATTTAATCAAACACTTATAAGTTAATATTTTCAAACCAACTAAAAATTTTACAAATTAATCAAATGCTACTTTTTAAACATAATATTGACATGATGATAAAATATTATACATTCGCTTCTTTAAATCAAGAAGAATTTTTTTTATTATTATTTTTACATTTATTCCAATTATATATGTGTTCTTTAAAAAAATTAGAAATAATAAAATTAAAAATTAATTTTTTTCTTCTCTTATTTAACCAATTCAAATTTTTATTTTGATCTATTAATTTAAAAAAAACTAATAAATAAAACATTTTCTTTGAAATTAATAATAAATTTAAATTCAAAAGCAAAATAATAGTTGAATATGAAATGAATAAAATTACACAAAATTTGTGAATTAAATATATTTTTGTCAATTGGTTGTGCTAACTTTTAAATAGTTTTTCAATGATTATACCTCATCTCTTCTAATAAGAATAATTTTTTTCATCATGTTCATTTTTATTCTTGTTATATCTGTTATTTAATGAATATATCATATTTATTTATTTTAATAATTTTTGTATAAGTATATTCAGTTTCATTATATTTATTCTCATTTTAATACATAATTTTTTAAAAAAATGAATAACAAATTGAACAACTCAAAACTAAAAACTTCTACATTAATATATTACAATTTCAAATCAAATATACAAAATATAATTTTATAAATTATTTTCGCATAATATATTATATGAAATTATGTGAAAATATGGTAAACATATGTGATAAAAATTTAGATAAATATAAATCATAAGTATTAGTAATTTAAAACTCTATGTAAAAAAGCCTTAAAATCAAGTAACTTAATCGTGTATAATTAGCATATATTTGTTTTATAGATAATAAATTAAATTTATAAATTAAAGCGTGATAATGGAGAATTTAATATCATGTTGTTTTTTTTTTGTTAATAGAGATTTCTTTATTTTTTAAATTTATTTTCTTAACCAAAATATTAGAATTAGTCAATCTTTTTTAATCTTTTTATTTTTTTACATATGAAGAAAATTAAATTTTTAAATGCTGATGTGGATGTCTTGAAAATAATATAGCTTTAATTGTTATTAATAATAGAATAATTTTAATTAGTATTTTTCTTATATTAGCAATGTAATTTTATAATTTAGAAAGTTTTTTTTTTAATTTTTGTTATTGATGTGGATTAATAAAATTGACTTTTTAAATCTTATGTGGATGTCTTTAGAGACATATAGTTTCAACTTATATTTTCTATAAATATATTTTTGTTAACAATATAATTTTAAAATTTGAATTTTTTTTTATTTTTAAATATTGATGTGGACCAATAGATATGAACTTTTAAATTCCAGGTAGACACACTTAGAGACTTATAACTTTAACTTTTATTAATAATAGGTTTACGAATCAAAGCTGGAAGATCCCATACGAGGCCTGTTGCAGCAATTGATTTTGGTCACTCCTCATTGTTTAGAGGCTTACTGAATGTATTCAAATGCTACTTGGTTAGCTAACTGTTACTTTTGTGGTTCAAGTTGGGTTGTTAAAACCCCGTCAAATGTCATGTTATTCCAAAAATCTTCCTCGGATACCTCATTCTCCTTCGCCTTAATGATGGAACATATTTCTCTATTTTTGGTGCTATGTTTTTCAAAAGTGTCGAATACCAATCGCTTGACTTATTTTTCGAATTGGTTGAAATTTATAAATTTTAGAATTTGTAAATTTTCTTAATTTTCTTATTCAGCAATAATATTAGAATTTGTAAACTTTTTTGATTTTGAATGTTGATGTGAACCAATAAAATTGATCTTTTAAATCCTATGTGGATATTCTGAGAAGCATATAGCTTCAACTTTTATTAGTACTACTAAATTTTGCATCCACGTTACGCGTATGTAGTTTTTTAATGTTATCATATTGATAGAAATCATATTTAAGCAGTTATATTTATTTAGATGTTAATTTATTGTAATAAAATATATCAAAAGTAATTCAGTTTTAATCTCAAAATTTAAATATAGATTTTGAGGTTTCAACGATCTTGTTTGTATTTATATATGTGTCGTTTAAAAAATATATTATTTTGTTGAACGCTTAACATTTTGTATACTAAAATCAATCTAAAATATAATAAACTAAATAAATAGTACTTAGTTAGTATTAATACAAAGATAAAGTATTATACATCACTTATTAGTCAAGAAAATAAGTTCTTTCATTAGTTGCATTCTTGTTATGTATGCATTTAGTGAAAAAATGATAAAATTAAAAATTATTCTCCTTCCTTTGCTAGTTTAGTCGATACAAATTTCTTATTTATACTAAATTAAAAAATAAAATAATAAACATATTTTTTCATATATTTTCAGTAACTAAAAAACAAAATAAATTTTAAAGCTAATTTCAAATCACAAAGATCGATGAATTCAATATAAATTTTATTTTAAATTAGTAAATGCTAAACCTTTTGTCGAGTAACATATTATGTGTGATAACTTCTAAATAATTTTTTATTGACAACCAAGAAAGGAAAAAAATTTCTATTTATTTTACTTTTTTAATGAGTACAAATGATACTTGATAACATTCAATTACCCCTTCATAAATTATTAAATTAATTTTTTGATATATATTAAAATAGATTTCACAAATTTATTGTCACTTTTAAATTATGTTTACAC